CCAACATGGGTGGATCACTAGGTCAAGAGATCAAGACCATCCTGGCCAACGTGGTGAAACCCCGTCTCTACTAAAAATACAAAAATTGGCCGGATGTGGTGGCTCACACCTGTAATCCCAGCACTTTGGGAGGGTGAGGCGGGCGGATCACCTGAGGTTGGGAGTTCGAGACCAGCCTGACCAACATGGAGAAACCCCATTTCTACTACACACACACGCGCGCACACACACACAAATTAGCTGGGTACGGTGGCACATGCCTGTAATCCCAGCTACTCGGGAGGCTGAGACAGGAGAATCACTTGAACCTAGGAGGTGGAGGTTGCTGTGAGCCGAGATCTTGCCATTGCACTCCAGCCTGGGCAAGAAGAGTGAAACTCCGTCTCAAAATAAATAAATAAAATAATAAAAATACAAAAATTAGCCGGGTGTGGTGGCACGCGCCTATAGTCCCAGCTACTTGGGAGGCTGAGGCAAGAGAATAGCTTGAATCCGGGAGGCAGAGGTTGCAGTGAGCCAAGATCGCACCACTGCACTCCAGCCTGGAGGCAGAGGGAGACTCCGGGGTGGGGGGCGGGGGGGAAGCGGTATAGCATATTACATAATTTTGAGCAAAAAGGATAACAAAGTGACAATATTGCCATTATACAACATAAAACATGAAATGCAGAGAAAATGCATTAAAAGGGAAATAAATTGTTTCAGTTTGATAATAATCAACTGCAATAAAGATATAATTGGCATGTAACTTTATCTGTCAAATTAAATGTCCTCACAATTTATAAAGTAAAAACTCTTGTTAAGTGTAGACGATGGCATTAACCGAAATATGAATGTTGATGGTTTTAACACACCACATTTGGTCAAGTAGACATAACATGCTTAATTGGATAATAAAAGAAATAAGGTTGATTTACTAGATATGTCAAACTTTTTAACCAACAGGGAATAGATATTCTTTACAAAGCCCCAGGGATAATTTTGAAAATTGATTATAATCTACAATCCAAAACATTGCCAGTGATTTCTAAAAGGAAAAGTACATACAGGCTACCTTATGTGGTTACAATACAATAAAACAAGAAATTAACAAAATGTAACTCAACAGCCACAAAATTCCAAACAAGTTCAGATGTTAAACTGACCATGCATTCCTAGAGCAAACCCAGGTGATATTATTATCCTTTTTATATATTGCTGGATTTTATTTGCTGATTTTATTAAGTCATATGAGTCAATATAATGCCTGCTTCGTTTTGGGATATGCATTATGCTGGACTCATCATATAAATTGGGAAGTATTTCTTCCTCCAATATTTTTTAAAGAGTTCATATAAGATTGGTATTATTTTTTTCCTTAAATGTTTCATACAATTGGAGTTTTTTTGGGGAAAAGTATTGGATTACGAATTAAATACCATGAATACAGTTAAAGCTATTCTGATTTTCTGTTATTTCCTGAGTCAGTTTTGATAAATTGCATTTTTAAAGGAATTTGTCCTTTTTATGTATGTTATATTTGTTAGCGTAAAGTTGTTCATAATATCCCTCTCATCTCTTTTTTAACGTCTATAGGATCTGTAATAATATCAGCTCTATTATTTCTGAAATTGGTTATTTGTGTTGTGTCTTCTTTTTCTTGATTAGTCTTCCTAGGAACTGTGTCAATTTTATTTAATCCTTTCAAAACATGAAGTATTAACCTGGTTGATTTTCTACGTTATTTTTCATTTTATTGATTTCTGTCTTTATCTTTATTATTTTATCTTTACTGGGCTTTGGGGGATTACAGTATGCTTTCTTAAGCTATCACAGTTTACTTATAATTAATATACCATTTCACGCACTATGTAAGGAGAACCTTACCGGAGTGTAATTCCATTTCTTGCCTCTTTTGTGCCAGTGCCAAATACTTTACTTCTATATACCATAGTCAGTCACCTTTTATTTCCCTACATACTTACTATTTATGGTGCTTTTTTGCCTTCCTGTATATGCATCTGGTACCATTTCCCTTCAGTCCAAAGAGTGTATTTTATTATATATTGTAGTTCAGGTCTTTGTAACAAATTTCCTGTTTTTTAATTTATCTGAAATATCTTTATTTCATCATTCTTTTTGACGGATATCGTTTATGCACATAGAATTCCTTTTAAAAGCACTTTAAGGATGTCCCATTGCCTTCTGATCTTAATAAAACATGAAGTATAAAAGTTTTTTTTTTTTTTTTTGAAAGGGAGTCTCGCTCTGTCGCCCAGGCTGGAGTACAGTGGCATGATCATGGCTCACTGCAACCTCTGTCTCCCAGGTTCAAGGGATTCTCCTGCCTCAGCCTCTCAAGTAGCTGGGATTACAGGCACACACCACCATGCCTGGCTAATTTTTGTATTTTTAGTAGAGACAGGGTTTCACCATATTGGCCAGGCTGGTCTCGAACTCCTGACCTCAGGTGATCCGTCCACCTCAGTCTCCCAAAGTGTTGGGATTACAGGCATGAGCCACCATGCCTGGCCAAAATAGTTATTTTTGATTAGCAGTTAATTACCACTAGTATCATCGTTCCCAGTATGTTATTTTTCATGGACAGTTACTCGTGCTTTGGCAGGAAGTCAGTGCTTCTTCTTGTCTGTTCAGTCTCCCTTGTAGGGGATTCTCCCTCTGTCTACCTTTGCATTCACCACTTATTGCCACATTTATGTAATATTAAATATGTGGCATCTTTCTCTAAGTTCTGGTTGTCATACAGAATTTTCTCTAATACGTTGATTTGGTCATTTCATTGGGAACTGTGAGAATTCCAACTGAAATCATTCTTTTTTAGTCTGGAAATTTCTTCATGTACTGTAACTGTTAATGTTCTGAGTCTTGCTTCCTGAATGGTTGTCCTACCACTGTGATTGTTGGGGTATGTTTTTTGTTTTGTTTTGTTTGAGATGGAGTCTGGCCCTGTCACCCAGGCTGGAGTACAATGGAGCGATCTCAGCTCACTGCAACCTCTGCCTCCCAGGTTCAAGTAATTCTCCTGCCTCAGTCTTCCGAGTAGCTGGGATTACAGGCACCCACCAACATGCCCAGCTAATTTTTGTGTTTTTAATAGAGAAGGCATTTCACCATGTTGGCCAGGCTGGTCTCGAACTCCTGACCTCAGATGATCCACCCACCTAGGCCTCCCAAAGTGCTGGGATTACAGGTGTGAGCCACCGTGCCCAGCCGATTCTTTTAACTTGCGTTCATTGACATGTTTTCACACCCTCTGAATGTGAAATTTTCTAGATTCCTCTGTTTTCAGTGTGCTCTTGGATGCAGAATATAGTTGCCTTCTGTTTTATAATACAAGTGGATGGTCTTTGTCTTTCTATGGTTAACCAGTTTCTAATTTACATTTGCTATCCACACGCCATCTTGCTTTATGTGTTTTTAATATATGCTTGTACATTGCTTTTCTTTTCCTATCTTTTTTTATATAGACCATGTATATTTATTTATTTTCTCTATGGAATTTTAAGATATAAATCCTATTTTTAATGTAATTGTAGTTTACTTTTTTACTGCATCCCTTAGCTCTTTAATGGTCAATCTCGGGTAGAAAATAGTCTCTGCAGTTCAGGAAAGAAAACTAGAAAATGTCTTTTCTTTTTTCACTTCCCAGTTTATGTATGAGATTTTAGAAGCTGCTTATTACTATAATTCTCATTCGAGAGCGTTATCTTTTCTTTCTCAATGAACTGTGGTATTTTCGTAGTGCTTTGTAACTTTAATTTTATGAAACCAAATTATATATTTAAACAATGTCAAATTTCTACTCTAACCTTTGTATTCTACTTCCTCTTTACTGAGCCTGAGTTTTTAAAAATTGTTACAGTTTCTTATGACATTGGGGTTCATCTTTGGGAGACGTTTTTCAGGATAAGTATGTGGATTATATACTCTATGAAATTTGCACATTTGGAAATTCCTTCCATTGTCTTCACACATGAATAACATTTGTCCAGGAATTTGGAGTTCCCAAATTTTCTTCTTAAAGGTCTGTAAGGATTTCTCCAATATCTTTTAGCAATTAATCCTGAAGGAGAGCAGTCTCAGCCCTCCCTGGTTCTTATATCCTTTGCAAAATAATTTACTAGATAGTTTTCTTTGTATAACAAGCTTTTGTATTCTCCCTGTGAACTTCAAAACATAATGTTAATTATAAAAATTTAATTTACAGGCTGTGCGCAGTGGCTCACACCTGTAATCCCGGCACTTTGGGAGGCAGAGGTGGGCAGATCACAAGATCAGGAGCTCAAAACCAGCCTGGCCAACATAGTGAAACCCCGTCTCTACTAAAAATACAGCAAAATTTAGCTGGGCATGGTGGCGCACGCCTGTAATCCCAGTTACCTGGGAGGCTGAGGCAGGAGAATCACTTGAACCCAGGAGGCGGAGGTTGCAGTGAGCTGAGATCGTGCCATCGCACTCCAGCCTGGGTGACAAGAGTGAAACTTCGTCTCAAAAAAAATTAATTTAGATATTAATTTAGCTTTGATAACTTATCACACAAAAAGAAGACAAAGCTATTTAGAGAGCATTTTCCAAAAGTATAGAGTAGCACTGGGATGGAAATTGTAAGCTACTTTAGGGCAATATGTATTCTGTTGGAGAGCTGGTAGTGAACAGGAGGGTGATACTGTGATATAATGAGAAATATATATTGGTTTTTGTCCCTAGTTCCTGGCCCAGAGCTCCCCAAAGTCTTGTAATTTCCTAAGTGATGCTAGGAGCATCTTTTGTTCTAACATTTGGTCTTTGACCACGGTTTCGGACCCACAACTCCTAAATCCCTTGCAGTTCCTTAAGTGACAGCAGTATCTTTTGTTCTAATGAGGTGATGCTTGCTGGGTTCCTCAGTAGCCTCAAGATGGGGTCAGGTCACCAGAAAGACCAAACTTTGATTAGAAACTTGGAATTTTCAGACACATTCTTCATCATCCAAGAAGGGGAGACAGGCTGGAAACTGAGTTAACAATTGTCCCTGCCTATGTCATAAGGCCCCCACAAGAAACCAGTAACTGAAGGGCTTTGGAGAGCTGCTGGGTTGGTGGCCACATGGAGGAGCTGGGAGGGTGGCACACCTGGAGAGGGTGTGGAAGCTCTGGTTGCCTCCACCATCTTTTCCTGCTGTTCCTGAGTTGTATCCTTTTATTACAAATCTACAACCTGGTAGCAAACTGTTTTGCTGAGCTCCATGAACTGCTCTAGCAAATCACCAAACCTGAACAGGGGCTCAGGGGAACCTCTGATTTATAACTGGTGGATCAGAACCACAGGTGGCAACCTGGACTTGTGACCGGTGTCTGACGTCTGTGGGCGTGGTGTTGTGGGACTGCCTGAGCCCTTAACTTGTGGAATCTGATGCTAACCTCAGGTAGAAAGTGTCAGAATTGACTCAAATTAGAGGACACCCAGTCAGTAAATGATGAGAACTGGAGAACTGATGGATGTGTGGAGGAAAAATAATCCCACATACTTGGTGTCAGAAATGTGTGAGTATAGGAGGAAAAAGTTATTTTTCTTTCTTTTCAGGAAGGGGAAAGAGGAGGGTAGAAAAGAACAGGGAGGAGGAAAATATGATGGAGATTCCTGGCTATAATTGATTGGCTCACGTTTACTCAGCTTCATGGGTTTAGATTCAGTTAAGGTACTGGAAATAAGATCACAATAAAATTTCATTTTTTTCTGTAGAGAAAGGTCTAGAGATATTTTTGAAAATACGATATGTATGTTTTACTATTTTGTGAACATTGTCCTTTCTATTATATTTCAGTCCATAGGCTTCATGTATTTCAGAATTATGTTTGTACATTATTTAAACACGTTTGTTTATTGAAGCAATAAGATTATATACCTCATGTATTGCTATGTTAGTAAATATAGTGTTTATTCAAGGTAGGTAATTAAAATATAATATTACATATCTACAGACCCAAAATTATATACTTATTATGGCTCAGAGTATGTTATACATTACAAAACTAATAACCTTTTGAAATAAAGATTGATTTTCTATAAAATCAGCCATCCACCCCCAAAAATACAGAAAGGAAGAAATAGTCTTTCTATATATTGTGACATTTTTGCAATTTCCAGAATTCCATGGAGTCTAATTTCTGCTGGGATATTTCCTCCAGGCTGACATTGGTTTCAGAAGGATGTATAATTGGACCAGTTCTTGATAAGCCTGAATCTTTATGTGCTGCGTGTCTGTAAGCTGCCCTCTCAAAGATCTGCTCTCCTCACATGATGCAGAAAGAAAATGATGTGGACAGAGAGAGAAATGTCACAATCTACGCTCAGCTGGTCTGGATTATCCAACTTCTGAGGTGTATCCGTCGGCTGTCCCTGTATCCCATTATAAATCATCTCCTTGTTGAACATCAGGCCAGACTGGGGTCTGATTCATTGGCTGAATGTGGCTACCTGGCTCCAGGAGGAGCCTCTGTCTCAGTCCTGTAATAGTCATCATGCTTTAAGAAACCTTCACATTTCTGAACAGTTACATAGTGTCCTCAGCTGAAGAAAGAGGATGTCTGGAGTCCATTTCCGGCAGTTAGCAGGGAGCTGTTTTCCTCTCTCTGACATTAGCAAGGTTTGTCAGCTTGTTAATCTTTAAGGGGATTTGGGGTTGAAATTTTTTGGGGGGTGGACTTTAGGTTGGATAATATAGTCAAAGTTCTTCAATATGGTTTGAGGGAATAAAATAGATGCCCATGTTTTTTATGGCTGTGATTCCCACTTGGCCTTGGGTTTCAACTCCCAAGTTTATGTGAAAGGAAAACCACAAACTATTGGATAGTGTAAGCGCTATAATAATAGTCTCTACCTTTTTGCTTGCTTGATGACTTCCCAGAATGTTTCCATAATTCTGAGGTAGCAGAAGCAATCAATAACTGCACTATAAATTACATGTGCATTGAGCATTCAAGCATTGTGGAGTCTGGGTTTCCACAAGGCCGTGGTTAACTGGCAAGGTTGGCCTGGACACATTTTCTTCCTTTTTCATTATTTCTCTGCCTGCTGCCTAATAGCCAGTTAAGATTTGGTGAGAAAAGCAGAATTAGGGAGTAACTAGACTAACCCCCTTTCAAGGGGAAGCTTTATTCTGATAAACCCCCTTAACTTACAAAAACCACATCTGGGATTAGAAGTGAAACAGAAGGGAGGGAAAATTTCTCCCACAGGGACCTGACTCTACCAGTCACACTTAGGAATTATTCTTTGACAAATACATATTTGCCTTACACGAAGTGGTAGAGATGTGCTGCATCTGGCAAACATCACATAAGGCTTCTGTACAGCTGGAACAATGATGCTCTTGTTTCTAATATTAGATGATGGAGAAGGAGTCAGAATGACATCTACCTCTATAGATACCGCGCTCAAGCTTCCTCCCCTTAGGGCAGACAGAACGCTTCTAAGAAGTGATCACCTTAGGTGTTTTCTGGAGAAGTGGTATGCTTAGAACCCTCATGCTCTTTCTCTGACACCGTAATTTAAACCGTACTTCACAGACAATTGTGGGTGTTGAGGAAATGCATAAGAGTGGAAGACAGAGGGGAAAGGAATCAGATCTCTCACTTGTATTTAAACTAGAGTCACCTTGTTTTTAGCTTTTTAAAAATTAGATTTCTTTCTGTCTCTCTTTTCTTCCCTCACTACTTCCCTCCCTCCCTCCCTCCTTCCCTCCCTTCCTTCTTTTCTTCCTTCCCTTTCTGACAGGGCCTCACTCTGTCACCCAGCTTGGGGTGCAGTGGCACAATCTGAGCTCACTGGAATCTCAAACTCTTGGGCTCAAGAGATTCTCCCTCCTCAGCCTCCCAAGTAGCTGGAACAACACATGTGTGTCACCATGCCTGAGTCAGCTAGATTTTTCATTGTTTGTAGAGACAAGGTCTCACTCTATATCCCAGGCTGGTCTCCAGCTCCTGACCTCAAGCAATCCTGCTGCCTCCGTCTCCCAATATTGGCTTTCTAAACAAGATTTAATGTGAAGAAATAGTTCCACTGCTTTAAAAAAGAAGGGTAAGAGAAACTTGAAAATCACATCTATAAAATCACACTTTGCTTTTCAGGTTTTTATTCCATGCCTTTGGGGACAGCGACAGTCAACACCAACCTGTGGCATGGGATGGATTTCTATCAAAAGCCTCTGTGAATGTGCTCTGAGAAGTTTCTACAGAGTCTAACAGGGCCTCACTCTGTCACCCAGCTTGGGGTGCAGTGGCACAATCTGAGCTCACTGGAATCTCAAACGCTTGGGCTCTTGAGTTTGAAATACAGCAAAGAAAAATGTCAGTGCTCCCGCCTATGGAGTCACCAACTCTTCATAAATCCATTCCAAATAGATCATCAAGGACACTTGTAACAGAGACGTTTTCCACACCATGGCATGTTCCCGAAGACTCAAAGTTGGTCAGAGAGACTAAACAAGGACAGCGCGGACCCTTTTTTGAAGCTGTTTTTCTATTTTTAAAATGCAGTTCAAAAGATATTGGAAAACTTTCAAAGGTTTATTCTTTCTCTCTTGCTGAACTTTTAAGGAGAGGTACAATAGAATACGTAGTACACTTGTAATCAGAACTGGGTTTAGGTCTTAATTCTGCTACTTATGATCGACATGTTTTGGGATATGTTATCTAGCCTTTTGCATACAAATGTACTCAGAAAATAAACAGACATTTGTGCTGCTTAATTCCTATGACTGTTAAACAGAAAGATGCAAAACTGGTCACAGCCGGGTCTCTCAGACTAATGTCTACATTCCTGTTTATGTTTTTATTTGAGTTCTTATTGTACAAATTGTTAATAGAAGGACCTGGTAGCTATGTGAGATATTGAAAATGCAATTGGTTATAACTTTAATATGTATAAGAGTTGGGTGGTCCAGGATGATGAGACAGTGCAGCCTTCCATCAAGTTCAAACGTGTTTAGAAGTAGGCAGAAAATATACCTCCATCACTTAAGATGCAAGGAAACAGAAATCTAATGAGGTAATCAACCTAAGTTCAAGTTACAGATGTCTATGAGTAGAAACAAGAATGAGGCAATGTATGAGACTTGAATTTAGAGGTCTTGAAGCATGTGAAAACCTCCTTTGAATTATAGAATCACTGACATAAAAATTATCAATAGGGTTTAATACATCACATCAAAGTTGCTGACAAGAATTCCGTTAGCAATCCTGTCTGAAATTTTTCTTTTTGCAACCCCAAGTGTGCTGAGAAAGCAATGCCACATCATACATGGGATTATATAATAGTATCCTTAATTGGCAGAAAGAATTGTCCTGAATGCATGCAACTCTCTATGTATCTTATGCCCATTAGAAGTTTTGATTAAATTCACATCAGTTACTCAAAAGGGTAAATATCCTCCTTAGTGGTAAGTATCTCATAACTCTGAAAAGAGTTAGAATTCAGAATTGAAATGTAGAAGAGGTCGGGCACGGTGGCTCAGGTCTGTAATCCTAGCACTTTGGGAGGCTGAGGCAGGTGGATCACTTGAGGTCAGGAGTTCGAAATCAGCCTAGCCAACATGGTGAAACCCCTTCTCTACTAAAAATACAAATATTTAGCCGGGTGTGGTGGTGGGTGCCTGTAATCCCAGCTACTTGGGAAACTGAGGCAGGAGAATTGCTTGAACTTGGGAGGTGGAGGTTGCAGTGAGCTGAGATCGCGCCACTGCACTCCAGCCTGGGTGACAGAGTGAAACTCTGTCTCAAAATAAAAAAAAAAAAAAAAGCAAGAAATGTAGAAGAAAAAGAACACCATAGTTTTAATAGTTGGTGCTTATGAACTTATGTTTAAGAACTCTTGGCTTACTAAAGTGACCATCCAATAACCGTAAATTTAATTGGGTAATTAAATATTTAATTTAAACTTGTGATTTTAATTTGAAATATTTCTAGGTTGACAACATTTATTGGAACATTTATGAGCACTCAAAATTCACTATAAGTTTGTTCGTTAGATTTATAAGGAAAGGTTTGTTTGTTAAGTTAGACAATTAAAGCACTTAAGAAGAAAATCAAATATATCAAATTTAAATATGTATTCTAAAATATTCAAAAGAATTACATTATTAAGTTTATAATTGGGAAATGTACCATCAAAAGATCTTTAAAAGTGAATGTTAAAAATTGTTAAGAGAATAAAGAGAATAATATAATTTACAAGCAGAATTTAAAAGCATAAGGAAAAACTAGGGTTTCAACTTTGTAACTATAACTAATATTAATTTTAGAAACCAGAAATATTTCTGAATGGACTGGTCTGCATACAAAAACTATCCTCAAATAAATCTTTTTTAAAAACATTGAATTAACAACAACTCAAAAAATTATTTTGTTCATTGAGTGAGGGGTACTCAATGGGATGTAGGCTGAAATCAACCTTATTCTTTTTAACCACTTGCCATTAAATTTGTCCTGTAAAAAAGTTCTTTATCTGCTCCTAGCTCTAATCTCACATGGGTTCCGTAGCCTTTTCTGTTGCCGTCATAAAACAAAAATCTCAGTCCTGTCTTAATCAACATTTAACTCCAATTCAGAGTAATTTAAAAATTCCAAATTCCATTCAAGTTTAAAACCTTTTCTCCTCCCTCGGCTTGGCTTGTGCTAAGATCTAAATGTGTCCTCCAAATTTATGCGCTAAAAACTTAGTCCCCAGTGCAACAGGGTGGGGAACTGGGGCCTTTTGGGAGATGTTCAGGTCATGAGGGCTCTGCCTTCTTGAATGGTTTAATGCCTCTATGAAAGGGCTTGATGGAGGAAGGGAATTTGTCCCTTTTTTGCCCTGCTATTTTCTGTCTGTGGGGACAGAGCACTCTTCCCTTTGGAGGACTCAGCTTTCAAAGCACGATGTTGGAAACAGAGCTCAGCCCTCACCAGAAGCTAGTGCCTTGATCTTGGACTCCCCAGCCTCCAGAACTGTGAGAAATAAGTTTCTGTTCTCTATAAAGTATCTAGTCTATGGTACTCTGTTACAGCAGTACAAAATAAACAGCTTGCTTCAGATCAGGAAGACCAGAACAGAGGGTCAGGGGAGTTGGCTTCTTTACTGTGTCCCAGCTCTGTAACTCCCAATTCCTTAGTAGCAGCTCTTGTCTTTTAGCGTTGGACCTAGGAAAAGAGGGGAAGGAGAAAGGGCAGGGAAAAAAAACTTACTTAGATGGCAAAGTTATAATCAACGTATCTTGGAACTCTCTGACTGTGGCAGATTCCATGACTGATTTTTCTGATACAGCATTATTTGTGGGTCTCTCATAGGGCTTCCTCTGGGGTCTTCCAACTGTGGTTTTAACTCAGATAGAGTTATGCCTGGGTTTTGTGGAGTCTAACTCTTTATTGAAATCCCTTCTCTACTGCAGACATCCTCTTGGATGGGAACCTTTTGAAAAACAGTTCTAGGGTGACTTCATTCTATTGGATCCGTATCTAATCCCAAGGAAAACCTGTATTTATTTTCCCCCTCTGCCACCAGGGGAAATGCAACCCACTTTCAACTGTTCACCTGTCTTCTTTTCTGTCAGTCTCATTTTCTCAGGAATGCGTCACACACAGACTGTGCCTCCAACATCAGAGAACATAGATCCAAAATCTTCAAGTGCTTTTATTTGCCTTAGGTATAAGGAAGGTACCTTCTTCTCTCCATCTTGGGGAAGAAGGAAGATAGATAACTACGACAATTCTTCTACAGTTCTCTCCAAAGCAGTTTTCTCTATGCCTTTCTTCTACATCAGCTCTTTCATACCTTCAAGGTGGGTTATGGGCTAATGTTGGCAGAACCTAATTTGCAATCTTTTGGTGGCTGTTGCACCTTAGTTTAGGAGTGAGGATACTTGAGATTTATTGTATTTTTCTCAGCTTTGGGAATCTAATCTTGAGAGTTCCATTTTAATATTCTATTGTGCCATCACTATGAAAAATGCTTTGCACTGATAATTCACAGTTGGGAGATATTATCACAGAACTTTAGTATCATTAGAAATTATTTCTTAAACTGAGAAATATATGCCCTATGGCATATTCTCTGAGATATGTACAAAATGTTGTGTTCTCATTTAAAAGTATAAGAGAAATAGGGTTCTACCACAGGCTGAGAACAAACACTTTCATGAGAAATTCGGAAAACAAAAAGCAAACAAAAATATAAACCTAAACAGCGCAACCTTGAGATGACCACTGGTAACATTTTGATGCGTGTTTGTGGGAAATATATTTCCCACAAGATTGGGATGATATTATTTGTATAGTTCTTTTGTGATCTACTATCTATATCTAAATACTATTTTACAAAACTATGTATATGTATTTCTTTGATATTTATAAAGTATAGTAATGCATATAATAAAAAATCAAATTATAGAAATGGTTTTACGCTAATAAAAACATAGCCTTCCACTCCAATTTTGTCCAACCCACATCCTACGTTTTAGATGTGACCAGTTTTAACAGTTTTTGCTTTTGATATTTCTAGTGGATCTTTCTATTTTTTTTTTTTCTTTGAGATGGAATCTGACTCTGTTACCCAGGCTGGAGTATGGTGGCGCCATCTCGGCTCACTGCAAGCTCCGCCTCCTGGGTTCAGGCTATTCTCTTGTCTCAGCCTCCCAAGTAGCTGGGACTACAGGCGCCCGCCACCACGCCCAGCTAAATTTTTGTATTTTTAGTAAAGACGGAGTTTCACTGTGTTAGCCAGGATGGTCTCGATCTTCTGACCTTGTGCTCTGCCCACCTCGGCCTCCCAAAGTACTGGGATTACAGGTGTGAGCCACTGCACCTGGCCAGATCTTCCTATTTTTAAATCAGAGGTTCTCATTTATGACTTCATATTAAAAATTACCTTGAAGTTTTTGAAAGTTCCCCATACTTGCCTTTCCCTGATATTCATTGATCCAGATCCCTGGAGGTGGGACTCAAGCAGTCGTATTATTTTTAATGCCCACTAGGTAATTTTGATGCATTGTGGGAGTTAAGAACCACTGAGCTATAGAATATACTTACACAAAAATTGCTCAACATCCATTTTAGATACTATCATTACTTTGCCATTATGAACTGAAGACTTAGTTACTTACACAATCCCCATCTTTCCTATTCCTTGCTTTCTATTTTGGTAGTTACATAATTATTAATGTTTTGTCATTGATTGTATTTATAATTTAAAATATGCTTATGCTTCTATGTCTGGTTTATCAGATTTAGACATTATTAAATTTAGACATATTCCCCATGTAAGATGGGAATATGACTCTTCTTACCCTATCTTCCATCTTTCCTTATCCCAGCTATCAACTTCCACTAACAATATCAGTATCTATACATTGCGAAGATTGATACAATTAGCATTGTGTTCTAGAATGACATATCCATAAGTTGATTCTAAACTACATAAACCAGAAATATTATTTATTTATCTATATAGCAAATATTTCACATATAAATATATCTATATTTACAAAAACAGCACATAACAATGTTTAAGAAATTTGCTCTGTCACTTACTAGCTTTATGATCCTGGACAAGTCACTTAACTTCTTTTTCCATCAGTTCTTTACCTCTAAAAAGGGTAAATAATATCAATCTCTTGGGGTTGTTGTGAGGATTCTATAATTAACCCATGGCACACAGCAAAGACTCCTAATTCTGTTAGTAATTCTTACTGCTTAGCCCAGTCTTGTACAGGCATTGCATTTCCTTTACTGCTTCAATGTAATCTCCGCACTACACGAAGTAGAATATTTTTTGAATCAAGATGAAATAGATTTCTTTTACTTATACTCTAACAAATGTTTTTCTAAAAATTTCATTTTAAACGATTGTTTAATGTTCTAACCACAGATTTCCTGATAGCTTCCCCTTGCCTTGCCAGGAGTTTCTAAACACTTTTCTTTTTTCTCATTTCTGAAAACATAATATGCCCCCATTATATCTTCAAAATATTCCAATCTTTTCATTGTGTCATCTACTAATGCAAGGAATTCACTGTCTTTTGGGGGATGTCCATCCACCCCTCTGACCTCTTGCTACAATTCAGACCAGAGGTTTTCTAGACTTTGTGGATGCCAGGGGAATCTAGGGCTGTTTCCTGCATTCCACAATTTCCTCTCTGATCTTTCTCTATTTTTGCTGGTGTGAATCCTCAAATAACTTCCTCAGAATGGTATGTGAAAGGCAAATTTTCTTAATCTTGGCATGGTTGCTATCCTGCAATTACATTTTAGCTCCTAGAGGTTTTTTTTTTTTTTTCATTGACAAACTCATCCTAAAATCCATAGGAAACATAAAGACTCTAAAATAATCAAAACAACTTTGAAAAACAGACCTGAAGACCTAATTCTGCCTAACTTTAAGACTTGTTTTAAAGCTATAGTATTCAAAAAATTGTCATATTGGCCTAAAGATAAAAGCTCAATGCCTGTAGTATCTCCCAAATCCCAATCATCCTAGCTCGCTACATGCTCCCA